GAACGTAAGTTTGGTCCTCCTCCAACTGAGAAAACAATCCGAGACTGGCTACGGGAAGAAGAAACCCTACTGAAAACACCATGGCAGAAGGCCATGAGAGGCAATATATGAAGACAGTGATTTGTCATCAGACACTGATGAGGACAAGCTAATGGCTGGGAGTTTTGACAGTGATGAGGAGTTGTATGAATTTTATGATGAATAAAACTTGAGTTCAATAACTTTATGTAAAGTTATTGAATTTTTCAAATTTCGGGCCCCAAAATTAAGGTGTGTCTTATACATGGGAGCATCTTATACATGGGGAAATACGGTAACAAGCAAACAGTGATGTGGATTGTGTTTCAAATCATTTTGGGATTCATATTCAAACAAGCCAAGTGTAAACTTTTTTTTGAGACAACTGGGGAAATTTGAATATAGACTGGATATTAGATGATAACAGTGAATTACACGTTGTTAATATTTGCAGTGTTGAAAAAGTACTTTTTGAGAGTATTTACTTGGTGTAAAGAAAATCATGTAAGATATGATGTCTATAATTTAAAATGACAAAACATATATCTACGAATAAAATAAATACAGGTCTTTTCTTGAGAAAATTTTAGCACTGTTGAAAGCCTTTTATTTTAGCTATTGGCAGCTCAGCAGCAGTGCAGCGTGGGGCGGGAATCAAACTGGCAACCCTGTTGCTCAGAACTCGCACTCTTGAGCGAACTCTTAACCAACTGAGCCACTTGGCCGGCTCTTGTTGAAAGCCTTTTACGGAGAACTAAATAACTAGAGAGAGATGCCATGTTAATAAATTGAAAGATTCAAGAGCATGCAAGTGTCCCTTTTTCCCAAATTGATAAGTAAATTTGGTATAATTGCAATCAAAGCCCCAAAAGGCTGCTGTTGAGTTTTGGTTGCTGTGGCTGGTTGGTTAGTTGGTTGGTTGGTGGTGGTTGATTGGTTTAGTGCAGGGGTCGGAAAACTTTTGAGATGGAATGTACCCAAAGAGCCTCATGTGGCTTGCAAGCTGCAGTTTGCTGACCCCTGGTTTAGTGGAACTTGACAAGCTGGCTCTGAAATTTATAGAAGTATAAAGGACCGAGAATAACCATAACCATTCTGAAGAAGAAGAACAAGGTAGGCAGGCTTGACTTACTAGATACTCAGACTTCTTATAAAAGTGTAGTAATGAAGGTAGTATAGTAGATTTGTCACAGAAATATACAAAGATACCAGAGTAGAGAGTCACAAAACAGGCCCACATGTATATAGAAACTTTATATATGACAGAGTAACAATGCATGTAAGTACTGCTGGGACTGTTAGTTATCAGTATGTTTAAAAAATGAAATTTTCTTCTTACCTCATACCATATACCAAAAATGAATTTATACTCGTATCTCTGCTTCATACCGTACACATCAGTTTCAGGTGGATTAATGGCTTCAGTGTGGAAGTAATTTGGGATGGGGAAGACTTTGTGAAAAAGTCACAAAATGGCAAGCCATAAAGGAGAAGATATTTGAAACAATTAAAAATACTAAATTTTGTAAATGAAAACATACCAATCAAAGAAATAATTCATAGACTGGAAGAAAATATTTGTGTAACGTTTAACAGGTAAAGGATTAAGATCCAGAATATATAAAGAATACTTATAAGTCATTAAGAAAAAGATATCCTAATTGAAAAATGAGCAAAACACTTAAATAGCTATTTTATAGAAGTAGAAACAGGAATGGCCAAATACTCTATGAGAAGATGTTCAACCTCAGTAGCCAGGAGCATGCATTTTAAAACTATAATGACATATTTATATCTACCAGATAGCTACTCATATAAGTATAAATTAATGCAACTTCCTGGAACATAATTAGTGAAGTTGAAGGTATACCTACTATATGGCCTAACGATTCAGTTTGTAGGCCTGTACCTTGGAGAAACTCTTGCACAGGTGTCAGAATGTACCTAGCAGCATTATTTTAGTAGTAAGAAAAACAAAACAACCCAGTTATTCATCCATTTGGGAATGGGTTAAAACAATTGCTGTATGTTATTTTATACTGCAGTGAAAATGATCAGTATGAGTCTCAAAACATATTGAGAAGAAAACATAGTTTATTAATAAAGTATATATAAATTTCAAAAGTATGCAAAATAAGTGAAGGATTCATATATGTAGCAAAATGATAATAAAAGCAAGGCGATTTTAAACATAAGATTTTAGGATACAGGTTATTTTTAGTGTGGAGGCAGTGGAATAGGGGAGGGAGCTTCAGACGTGGATATACAGTTCCGTTGCTTAAGCTGGATTCCCAGATCTTTATATCATTTTCATTTACAGATGCATTGCATATAGCCTTTTGAACGTTTGAAAGAGTTAATAACCATAAAATTAGTTGTATTACAAAAGCTTTCTTAATCATCCATTCTTCTATTTCATAGCATTGATGTCAGGAGACTGTTTCCATATTTCCAACATAAATCTCTGACCTTTTTCTTGTCATTTCAAACTACCTCATGCCCTTCTTTTGTTTTATGATTTCATTGTGCTTCATAAAGTACATGCTGAAATACATGTGTCCTGAAACATCATTGTCACCAATATACCACTATTGGTAGGAGAGCATTTGAAAGTGTTGGAAAATTTTTGCAGCAGGAATTCTCTGTTTGTTTTCAGGCTATTCCTTGGTGCCAGTGGTATAAATCTGTAAATAAACATGTTTTTTTCTATGCATATGTGTGAATAGCTTGATTTTTCTCCCTTGCCTTATCCACAGGCAGGTGAAAGACCAGAATAAGAAGGTTGCAAATCTGAAGCACAAGGAACAGGTGGAAAAGAAGAAGAGCGCGCAGATGCTGGAGGAGGCCCGGCGACGGGAGGACAACCTCAATGACAGCTCCGCACAGCTGCAGGTTAGAACACGAAGAGAGCCTGGAAGGTCGGATGAAGACCTCTCACCCATAATGGCATGTTGTTTGTCTCTTCACCTTTATCCTCTTCTTTTTTCTCTTTCTAACCCTGCTTGCTGCCTTCCTCTTAGACCAACTATTTAGCAATAAAAGAATGGCTTTAAGTAGAAAAGGCAAGTTTTATTCCACAGCTTTGTGAGGACATCTCAGCATAGGAGAAAGTTCATCTGGCTTCAAGTTGATCACACTTAATTGGTAAGTTCAATGTCAGTTTAATGAGTGGATCCTGTTGAATTTTAGGGTGGTCAGTATAACTGTTTGCTATTTCCCTTCATTAAAGTGCATTGCTAATCTTGGTTTGTGTCTGTGTTTTAACTTCTTTTGTCCATTCTTCCTTTCCCACCCTTTTTTCCCCCCACCTATCTTTTCTATTTTCCCCTCCCTCTTTTGTTCCTTTCTTTTTAAAAAATTCGGTTTAGAGAGCATATTTCACAGTCACGCAGGATGTATAAACTATACTTTTTAACTTCAGTGACGTGATAATTAAGTTAAAGCAGGTTCAATAACAGTAGTAGCAGTGATCATATGGTAAGTGCCAATTACGTGTCCAGTCTTTGAGGGTAGGCACCGGGCATTCGTTTTTTCTAACCTTCACCGCCGTCTAGTGGTGTGGACGGTTTTGTGCACAATGTACAGATAAAGGAAATAGACCCAGAGAAATCAAGTTAATTAACCTAAATGTGCATAGCTTTCTAAGTGGCTCAGCCATGATTCTAACAGACTTCCGGATCCCAAGCCTGTCAGAATGAAGGTTTAAGTGTTAGAGAAGGATACCATGAACTTGCTAGAACCCTCTGAAACTTGTGCTGACACTGGTAAGCCACTGCCAGATTGTTTTTCTCTCATTACAGCTTCTAATCAGGTATGATGGAGTGTGTAGACCACAATTGCATAATCTTGATATTTTCAGTGGGGAAATTTGGAGGAGTTAGTATCTGCTATAAGCCAGTTTTAGGGTTTCAACATATTCATTTCAGACATGAAAATCCGAATTAATTTCTTTTTTCATTCCTTTTTATTTAACTTTTAATGATTATAAAATACCCATTATAGAAACAGTATGTTTCCTCAAACACACCAACTTTTGAAAAAAGCAGCATACTAATTTTCCCTCACAGTTGACACTGTCAATTTTCTCTTCTTCCTCCTTTTTTGTGTGTGCCAAATCTCGTAAGTGGAAACTATTTAATGTTTGTTTTAATTTCTATTTCTCTGATTACCAGTGAAGCTGAGTATTTTTTCATAGCTTAAATTTTTATTTGTTTATTAAGGAAATCAAATCTCTCTCTCTTCCATGGTGTCTTTTTTCCTATGATTTTTTTGCTCAGTTTTTTCCCCATTTTGGGAACATATAAAATATTTACCTATAAATCATTTTCAGTTGTTCTAGGCTTTCATTTTCTACTTTTACTTTTTAATTTAAATTATTCTGAGGGTATTTTGTGTGGTGACGATCTTAATTTTCTTCATTGCTGACAATTTCATTGCACTATAGGAAATTATTTCATTGCTTCCAAAGTAAGTTTGATTTGGCATCTGTATATTTTGTGAAATTGCTTAATAATTAGGCTGTTTCTAGTATTTCAATTTAACCTCCCTTCTTGAACTAGGATCACATTTTTTTAATTATAGAAAATACTTATTTTATGATAAGATAAGCCCTTCTATATGTTAGTCCCTTAACTGTTTCATTTGTCTTGTTTCTCCCTCAGCCCCCATTTTATTGTTTTCTTCCAGTCTGTCTTTGTAAACGGAATGGTGCCTCTTTAATCTTCTACCAGTTGTTATGATAACACCAAAAGTGCTTTCATATGTGATCTCTTATTTCCACCATATATAATCCAAGAGATAAGTAAATTAAATTATTTACTTATACTACATATTTTTATGTAATTTTTATAGAGATGCATAATATTTTCTCTACATTACATATAGAGAAAACTAGTTTAGAGTGAGTGAATGACTTTGCCAGCGTGTCTCAGTGAGTGATAGATATTTAAGATAAAGTAATGAAAAATGGGAACTGATAGCCATATTCAAGATACACATGGATGTCATTCATTCAAACATAGTGAAAAGAGTACTGGACTACAAATAGGGTACTTTGGACCTGGTCTCAGTTCTTTTATCAACTAGCTCTGCTACTTACTTCTTGGCAGCCTGACTGCAGGTGACGGCCCAGTGGTAGTGAGTATCGCTGGCACCCAGACTGTGATCTCTCTTTATATACCATATTTGCCGGCATATGAGACGACTGGGCGTATAAGACGACCCCCTAACATTTCCACTCAAAATACAGAGTTTGTTATATACTCGCCGTATAAGACTTTTGCGAGTGTGGTAAAATCGCATAATAGCAAAATCGCGTAACAGCCGAGCATACACCCAGCAGCGCTGCTGATGCCTGAACGGTATGTGGAATGAAGTGGGCGGGCATCGGGAGGCCACTATGGCACGGGGCAAGCACTATGGGCAGTCTATCTGAAGTGTACCTGGCGTATAAGACGACCCCCCACTTGGAGGCATATTTTTCAGGGCCAAAAAATCGTCTTATACGCCGGCAAATACGGTATGTGACTTCCCACTAAAAGAGAAGCTCGTGATTCCTGGAGAAATGGCTCATATCATTCATGAGGGAGTAGAATCGTAGAAAAGCAGTTGATTGAGAATGTATAGTTTTAAAAATTCCTTTTTTTTTACACAGTGATTCAAATTACAAGGAAGGTAACCTCAGTGGAGCACAACTGAGGAAATAAATCCTCTTAAACATTGGGTTTAATGTTTAATTTTCAATTTTCAGCACCAGGGTTAAAAAAATAAAAGCTTCTTAGGATATTAGAACTGGAAAGGTCCTTGTGTTTCTGATTAAAAAAGAAAATCTCTAAAAATTGGGTTAGATTTTCGTAGTATTGACAGACATCCCTGTATTTTCCTCTCCAGGGAAAATTGTCTTCTGGGAACAAGCCAGAAATACATACAAACGCTCATTCCTTCAACTATTAATATTAGCCTTAAGGTAGTTCTCTTCTCTAAGGAAACCTTCCCTTTTTTAGCAAGCATTTTGAAAGATGAGTTGCTGGAGTGGACTTCGTGTATTTTTGTTGTTTTGTTTTGCTGGAATTTTCTGCCCACCTCTATCTTTGTGATTCTTCCTGTGAATCCATGAGACTGCTGCTCCCTGTGGTACACTGACTGCTTCCAGCACAGGACTGAAATGCACAAAACAACTTAGCAGTAAAAAAATAAATGCTCGAGTATAAATTGATTCATAAATGTAAGTGGACGAGTGTTGAAAGTGATGTATTATGTCACTGCAACATATTGACATTATCAATTATATGTCATTAAACAGCTAAACTAGCTGAATGATTTACTTTCTGTTTAACTGCCTTTCTCAATTAAAGGGAGCAAATGCTAAGGAACTGGGGCACAATATCAGAACCCATATATTTTCTCCTGTTAACACCAGCATTGCTAACCTAAAAATTTTTATTCCTGATTTCTTTATTGTGTTTTAAATTTCTGAATATTCATTTGGGGCCATCTATTGATGTTTTCATGAAGTAGGAGAAGTAAAGGGAAGGAATTATTTTAGGATTTTAGTGTTTCTGCTATAAACATAATTCTAAGATTAAAATACATTCTCATGTTAAAAAGAAATACTTTATAATTAATGGTTTGAACTTTGATGGGTCATGAATATTTAATTTTTATCAGATGTCACCTTGGCTTCCAAAGGTTAATTCTACTTACCATGTTAACAAACACACAATGTGTTTTCTTTTGTTCATAAAGATTAAAATTTGATTTGGACTAGAAGGTTCATTTTTACCTTTTGTAATTCAGTGACTGCCAGTTATGGTGTTAAGTTCATCCATTAATTTCACTCTTCCTGGTAGAAGTTACAGTTTTCCACAAAGATTTGTACAGCTTTTTAATTTACCTTTCTTTATTATAAAAAACAAAATACATTTTAAAAAGTACATAAAACACATACACATAGTGTAAATAATACACATGAAGTGATTGTCTCAAGGATATTACTAGCATACCAGAAATCATATGTATATATCTTCCCTTCCTTCAGACAGAATCATTATTGTGACTTTTATTGTTCTTTGCTTCTCTTTTGACCTGAATACGTATTAAATAAAAAGCATAAGTTAGTTTTGCATGTTTTAATTTTGTATCAATGGAATCGTATTTATTATTTTGTGACCTCTTTTGTTCAACATCATGTGTGAGATTTATGCATGATTGTTGCGCATAGCATTTGTACTTTTATTGTTCGTGCTGTACTGTGGCTTTCTTTTTTATTCAAGATTCCATATTTTATTTTGAAAGTTTTCTGAAAAGATAGCTGTTTCTTTCCAATTTTCCATTTTTTGAATACTTCAGATGGAACCGAAAGTATTCATTTCTGGCAGAAAGTGAGTTTGGAAACAGATTACTTTGTTCTTGACTCAACACATTAAAAATATTCTGAAGAGATTAAACAAATTCCTTACATATTAAAGGAAAATGATACCCCAAATGGAGGGAATCTAGGGCTCCCATAGTCTCTAAACACTGCATTTGTTTATCCTGGCCTTAGTTATGAATGCCCTGTCTTAAGATAATCACATTGCTACTCGGTTGTATCCTGATTGTACCTTTGTGTTTTGGACAGTTATTACTCTGAGCTGTATTAACTGTTCTCAACCTTTTTGGTTTTAGAAGTTCCTTGATACTCTTAAAAATTATTAGAGTCCCCAAAGTGATTTTTTTTGTGTGGGTTATAATTATTATACAAATAGGCAGTTACTTAATGATTCAGCTGTCCAACATCTACATGTATCTGATACATCTCCAACAATACAATATACATACGCACAAGGTTTCTGCAATATTAGTGGTAATTGGAGACAACCTAATTGCCCATAGGTAGGAGTGTGCTTGCATCC